AACACAGACTTAGCGTGTAATGCAGTAATTTTACTCTTAGAATGTACCCAAGAGAAATGAAAACACAGGTCTACAAAAAAACTTGTACGCAAATGTATAGAGCAAGCCAACGGTGAAAAAAGCAAGCCAAAGATGAAAAGAACCCAAATTACAACCAACTGATAAATGGATAAACAAAATATGGTATAGTCATACAATGGAATACTTACTATTTGTCAATTTAAAAAAGGAAGCGCTGATACATGCTACAACATAGATGAATCTTGAAAACACTGTTCAGTGAGAGAAGTCAGTTGTAAGAGACCACATACTGTAAAATTCCATTACATTATATTGTCCCTAGGCAAATATATAAAGGAGAATTAGCGGTTGCCTAGGGCTAGGGATCAGTGGTGGGAATGCAGAGTGACTAATATAAATGGGTTAGACTTTTTTTTTTTAAGTGATGGAAATGGTCTAAAATCAGATTGTGGTGATGGTTGTATAACTCTATAAATATACTAAAATTCACTGAATTGTACATTTAAAACAAGTAGATTTTTATGTTATGTAAATTATATCTCCGAAAAAGCTGTTTAATATAAAAGACATTGTGGCTTCTACCTTGCTCTCTCTTCAATCACTTGTTCTGGAGTAGCAGCTGTTATATCATGAGGACATTTAAGCAGTCATATGGGGAGGTCCACATGGCAAGGAACTAAAGCACCTTGCCAACCACACGTGAGCCAGCTGTCTCAGAAGGGGAACCTCCAGCTCCTTTACATGCCTTCAGGTGACGTCAATCCTGGCAAACACGTGGACTACAACCTCATGAGACAAAATTATCAAGCTAAGCAACTCAAGTCCAGACTCCATAGAAATCATGCTGCTGTATAAGCAACTAAGTTTTGGGGTAATTTGTTACACAGCAATAGATAACTAATAGCTCTTTTTTGACCTCCTACTCAGTGTTAGGCTCTCTCTCCTAATGACAGACACCTATGGAAATGTTTTCCCAGCAACCCTTCCTCTCCTAAGAGTTTAGTTTCACCCTATCCATGTGTTTACTGTAGCAGCTGTCATGTTAGTAGAACATGATCCCATTCCCTGGCCTTAACTGACTGATCCAAAATAGGGCACCTGACCAGAGCGAGGCCAATAAAGACCATCCCTGAGATTTTTAATATCTGAACCTAAGTAAAAGGCAGTGTCTCTCCAGTATCTGAAGCAGTAAGATATAAAACTTGGGGTCTGTCAGCAGCCATGTTCTTTCCCATGTGGGAAAAGTTGGACTGCAGAATAAAGTCATCATGTAGAGACAAAGATTCAAGATGAAGGGAGTAGATAAGTTTCTGGTTCCAGTGGGAACCTTGTCTTTCCAGTGGGAAGACCATATCTGCCTTATAACCCATCATCTAAAACGGCACTCAATACATAAGAGGTAATAAAATATTTATTGAATAAATGAATGGGTAGGATAACCCAGTATCGTTCTAGTAATACCACCCCTTTTTGTTGCTATTGTGCAAGTTAGATTTGATTATTTGAAACCTAAAAGTCCTAATCTTTTCTTTGCTACCTTTATACTCTGTATAATCCTTTAGTATTGTGCTTATGATAACATACCCTAATTACTGGTTTGCATGGCTTCCTCCCCTACTATCAGAGGGCAAAACATGTTCTTGGTCATTTTCAGTTTCATCAGTACCATTCTAGTGTAGAAAACAAAGTGCTCAAGTAATGTACGTTTAACTGGTCTAATCAATTCTTTACTGTTCATTCTTCAGCATTTATAGTCACTGTCATCAATTTATCAACCACCTTATATATCCAAGGTACTGGGAATACAATAAATTATTAGACTTGGTCCTGGATTTTCATCCATTCAATGAATTCATTCAACAAATATGTGAATACTTACCATATGCCAGGGGCTGAAAATGGACAAGGGATGTGGTCAAAGAACAAAGAACAAGGTCTCAAGGTCCTTACAATACAGTACAGACAAGTAAATCGAATATATAGCATTTGTGTTAGATGTTATTAAACATATGCATAGGCTGCTAAATAGTAGCAGGGATTATGAGGAGTTTGCATTCTACTTCAGAAGACATGCACAGAAAAAGATGATAGCCTGGCAATGTGGCAGAGCCTGAGCACTAAATGAGTGATTTGTTTTCCAAATTACACTGAATTAATTCACATACTTAAAAAATATATGCTATTATGGAGTGATTTCCAGATTTATATTCAACCAATATCTCCTGGGTGCTTAATACGTGCCAAGCAACATGCTTAGCACTTTTCCAAAGGGTCTTATTCAATTTTCACATTTTATAGATGAGAGAAGTGAGTCTGTAAGAGTGAAGTGACTTGCCCAAGGCTACATAGCTGAGATTTAGAATGAAGTCTTCCAATTCCATGTCCAGCTATGCCATGCTACTTCAGTCTACACAACTGGAACAATTTCCATGTCATTATATGTGACTTTTATTGCCTTTTCATTCATCCTGCGGCACACAATACAGTGTTGGGGCACAAATGGGCAATCACCAACTGCTGACTTAATATGGCTATATATTTGTCCACATTTTGAGAAGCAAGGGACCACTGTCAGATCAGATTACTTTGGTGCCTATTATAGCATCGTGTGCCAAGAGGAGCACAGTTGGCTGAAGATGACTGAATTTTTCAAGTTATATTTTAACAGTGTTTTTTACCACTATATCCGGTCAGTTATTCCAATGACTTGTCCATTTCCTTTGACAGTTAACAGTACTAATGAATGCAGTATAATCTCACCATCCATCAGAAAAATTTCTGAAATGCAAACTTGAAGCTGATGATTCACACAGCAAAGAAAGGGAAATAGAGCAGCACTCATTGTTTTCTACAAAACTAGCATTGTTTGCAAAACCCAGAAACCAAGCAGTTGGTTGACTACTAATAACAAGTAGGTTGCTCTTTGGTCATTTAGCAAAAAGCTGCTTGTTGTACCACGGTCAATGGCTGAGGAGCATATGACTTCCAGTAGCTTTTGCTGTACAGAACAATCCTAGATATAAAAATCAGTCAATCGTTATGTAAGGTAAGAAAAAGAAATTCAAAATCTCCATACCAGAAAGCACCTGACACTGAGTCTGGCACAAATCAGATATTAATACTGAATAAATGCTTAGTGAATAAATAATTTAATAACCCTTTGAAAACATCAGTTGTCTAGTAAATCGAGAGAGAAAAATCAAACCAACCAAACCTACACAGGTTACGTTAGGAACTCAAATAGATTACGGAGTAATTGGCTCCTGATACATAAAATCACAACCACCAAAAAATAAGTGAGCACGCATTTAACATCCCCTTAAATTAAGTCACCACGCGGGCACTCCGTGGAATGCTGACAGACGACCAAATTAGAAGAAAAACTGAAAGAACTGTGACAGACTAACTTTGAAATCTGTTCAAAACAGCAAGGTGAAACCTGCTATATAAGCTCTGTGTCTACACAATAAAAGAATATCTTAATATGCGAAGGAAGCTGAAGAAAAAACCTTTACAAAGGTCCACAGGAACACTGAATAGCAATAACGAACAACTCGTTTAAAATACTATCTGTTCAGAAATGAAAAAAAAACACACCTCTGTCTAACTCAAGACTGGGCTCCACAAACATAATCTAAACTTGCTGATTCGTCCAAATAAGCGTTTTCTAAAATGGACAACCCGGACCCACACGACGAGTAAAGTAATTTAAGTATGAAGCTTGGGACAACTCCAGCGATCTCAAACATTAGAACATAAGCGCTTAAGCCGGCTAGTGAGTCGCTTTGAACTCGAGCTTTCAATTTATCGAGCCTTCATTTCCAGAGACCTCTGAAAGAAATTCAAGGCCAAGTATAGTATTTCATGATAATTGCAAATAAAAGCACTCAGTCCCTGGAGCCCGCGATCCCTCTGTCTCACTAGAGGCTGCGCTCATGAAAAGCCCAGGGGACGGCCACCCTTTTATCTCGTCCATGAACCCCAGCACCTTCAGGGGGCGATTCCACAAACCCTCCCGGGGACCACCTCTGGGGAAGCAGAGGGGTGGAGGAGTCACGCTCCCAAAACAAAGCACCGTTCACCGCACACTGAGGAAGGCGCCCCGTGTACCCCAAACAGGATGCGCTGACAGATGTGTCACCTGTGCGGGAGAGGGGCGCGAAGACATCCTCGCAGACGAGTGCCCGCAGGCAGCTGTGTGCCGCCCCGCGGGCCCCAGCGCCCAGCGCCAGGAAAACTTTCGGACCTCACCCCCTCGGCGCTCCCGGA